AGAAAGAAAGAAAGAAAGAAAGAAAGAAAGAAAGAAAGAATCTTTACATTAGTACAAATGTTCTGTCCCTGCATGTTGACTAAAAAAAATTAGTGTTCAAGAGTGCATTTACTTATTTACTTTTTTTCTTCTGCCAATTCCAAAGTGAACCATGACTATTCATGTGGCTACCGAGAACAATATAGTGAAAGAACTGATCAGCCATTTCAACCAGATCTCAGCACTAGTATGATGTATTACTATGATGATGGAACAGGAGTGCAGATGTATTCTGTGGATGAAACGTTGCTTAAAGAATATATTAAACGCCAAATGTAAGTAAATTACTTAATCCAAGTGCTACAGTGGGGTGGGAAAGTCAAACTTTAAACTGTCTTTCACTTGAAAACCTTGGCTTTTTAATGTACCAGTGGCATTGTTTGGAAATCATTGTTTATTCCTTTGCTCATGTTCAAGCATTTTCACTGTGAACTTTTAAGAACGATGAATCCTGGAACTTTTCATGCTATGACTCTAGTTCTGCAATTTTGGTGTTTTACTTTATGTACTACAATGTGGCAAGTTCGTATGTCTATGACACCTTTGTAATTGTGAGATTATCATGATGTGAGACAATTTTCCAAAGTTTGTGGTGGTTTGGTATTGTATTGTTATTGTATTGTATTGTATTGCATTGTATTTGAATTGAAGTAAAACAGGATATTTTATGATGGCTAATTACAATCCAATAATATACAAATAAAAGTAGGAAAAAAATCTAGAAGCCCAATTATCTCAAAAACCAATAGTGAAGAAAATCCTGAATATGTAATGAAGCAGCACCATATGCACTGGCAGATTGCTTTTTCACTGACCTGTTATTGGTGGTTTTTATTACCCTTGCATTCAGTGCATCTTACTGTACTCTTGCTTTCTTTGTTAAAGTTGATGCAAAAAAATCAAGGAAAGAAACTTATCTGTAACGGCAGAAAGCATCTCACAAGAGGCTATCCATTTCAAATAGTATTACATATTTTTCTGATTCTTGCTGCCAGGCCTTGAGAAACCTGACAGTGGAAATACAGTTCTCTGTCAGGATAATCAGCTGGTGCCACTGCCTCAGACAAGTGAGGGAGGAAAATGCAGACAATTTTTCATTGTGATCAAATTTTTGAACTTGCAGGGTAGAACCCAGATTTTCTAAGATATGAAATAATTATGTCCCTATGTGAGGCTCAGCAAAATGTGCAGTCTAGTATTGATCACATCTTCAATTTCTGTGGTGAATAATAAGATTTTTTGAGATTTCAAAAATCTTTGTAGGAGCTGAATTATTCATAAGAAACCTTACTTGGATTGGAATTTCTGAGTCTTAGTATGGGATATATCTTTGAAATGATTTATCAGTTTATTTATTTATTTTATTTATTTAATAGATTTGTCCCCGCCCATCTCCCCACAACAGGGGACTCTGGGCGGCTTACAACAAACTAAAATCAGAAATACAATTAAAAGTTATAAAAACCAGATATTACAAAGTTTATAAGATTGGTATTTTTCTCTCTTCCAAAATGATCTTGAAAGGTCTTGTAATTTTCTCATTGGATTCTAAATGTAGTTGTAGGTTTATGCTGTAATCTTTTAATTTTCTAAATTATCCAAAGCTAGAGTATCAGAATTTCTTCAATTTATAGTTAATAGAACCTATAGCTTTCTTTAAAAAGTGAGGGGGAAGAGAGCTAAGCTCCAGAATAAATTAGCATATTCATAACCTAGATTCCTATATTGCTTACTACAGTTTTAATTGTATTACTGGCTTTTCAGGGATCTTTCTCCAAAGAACTCTTTGAATTTTTAAATTTTTATTCAGCTAAAGAACTTCAGAGAAAAAATAATAATTTGGGTATATATTTAGATGAACATACAGTACTGTGCAAAAGTTTTAGGCAGGTGTGAAAAAATGCTGTAAAGTAAGAATGCTTCCAAAAATATATATTCAAAAACTGTGTGCAAGTGTACCTAGAAGAATTGATGCTGTTT